AAAAAGGTATTTTCTCTACAAAGAATCTTATCGGCTATACAAAAATCTGTACAGGTTTTATACTGAAGCTAATATTGAGCTGCACTTGAATTCACATTCTTAGCAAAACAATTGTCTGAGCACACACACACACATTCCACACACATCATTACAGGATAGCCATTTATTCTTCCTCCTCATCTTCTTCCTCCTCCTCCTCTTCCTCATCTTCTGGTTCATTATTCTTCTTTGAGCCTGTTGGCCTGCCAGGGCCCTTCTTTCCTGCCTCACTTTTGCCCTTGGCAGAGTATGCAGCAATATCCTCATATTTCTCCTTTAGTTTAGCCACTTTCTGCTCATATGGTTGTTTATCTTTAGCTGACTGTTCAGACACATTTCACCCATTTTTTTTGCAGTATCCCCAGTGTACAGGCCTGGATGTTCACTTTTGATCTTTGGGTGATGTTCAGAGCAAAACAGGAAGAGGGCAGATGGAGTCCTTTTCAGAGCATTGGGATCCTTTTTCTTTCCCTTCTTATCACCTTTGGGAGGGACGTAATTCTTCATCTCCCTGTCATAATGAGCTTTGTCACTTTTTGCCATATCTTCAGACTTCTACTTTTTCTTTGTAGACATGGTCTTCCATCTCTCCGAACATTTCTTGGAGAATTCAGCAAAGGTGTTTCTTCTTGTGCTCTTCCTGGCAGGTCTGCACAAAGAAGGCATACGAGGACATTTTGCACCTCAGCTTGTTGGGGTCTCCTTTGCCCATGGTGACAGACAGCGTCTACCTGGTGTGAGCTCTCCTTAGAGTCCTGCAGAGCGGCCGGATCCAACAGTGAAACTTCCTCCCCAGGGCTCCAGCGTGAACTCTCTTTATAAATTTCTTTGTCCGTGGAGAACAGACTAAACAAGTAGCCATTGACATTTTTAAACAATAGTAGAGAGGGTGAACATACTCTATGAAATATGAAGATCTATGATTCAATTAATGCTATGTGGTATGGTTCAAGGATAGGTAGGCTGACCAATAGAATAGACTAGAACAGAATAGAATAGAACAGAACAGAATAGAATAGAACAGAATAGAACAAAATAGAATAGAGTCTAAAAAAAGTTCTACACATGAATGGAACTTAGCTTTAATATAGTAGTATTTGATTTTAGAAGAGAAAGGAGGGTAACTTAATTATTGGAGCTGAAGGAAATAGGTAAGAGTTTTCACATGGAAATAGGTGAAATTGGATCCCTGCTTCACATGCTATTAAATAAGAAGTAAAAAACAAACAAACAAAAAGAAAAACAAAACAAAAAACTCCTATGTGGATTAAGGACTTAAAATTTGTCAATAGCAAACCTTTAAAAAATATAGGTAAATATTTTTTATGATCCTTGAATAGGGAGAGATTGCTTTAGAAAGTCAAACAATTTTTATAAAGGAAAAGTTGATAAATTTGGCTTCATTAAAATTAAGAACTTCAACACCTATTTTATACAAGACACAAAAATCAACTCAAAATAGATTGAAGACTTAGAAGACTGAAAGTATTAAAATACCTGGGGGGGGGCCGCAAATGATTAATGCAACAGTAATACAACTGGACCCACTTGGGAAGGGTTCTGAATTTCCATTCTTGGACCTCTTTGCACATGTCCAGCACATGGCATGCACACCCATGACCAAGGCCAGCTGAAATGGGAGGTGGATCAAGGTGTGATGACCTGTCTCTCTTTCATGGAAGAAATACACTTTATAACAACAGCAAAAACCTAGAAGAAAACATAGGAGAAATTAAACAAACAGGAAAACATGTAGGAAACCATCAGTGTTCTTTGCAATGATTTCTCAGATATGACACTAAAAGCACAGGCAAAAGTATCAGAAAAATGGGATTATATCAGATTAAAAGCTTCTGTACAGCAAAGGAAACAAGAGTGAAAAGGCAATTTTGGAAAAAGAGGAACTTACTTGAAAACCATATATTTGACATGGGACTCAAAATACTAAGGAACTCAACTGGCAAGAAAATAACCCAATTTAAAAATGGACCACAGACTTAAATAGACATTTCTCCAAAAGTGCACAAATGGCCAACAGGTAGATGAAAAAAATGTTCAACATTATTAGTCATCAGGAACTTGGAAATCAAAACTTCAATGAGAGATGACCTTATATCTGTTAGTGTGGCCATTATTTAAAAACAATAACAAAATGGCGTGTGCTGGCAAGGATGTGGAGAAGGTACAATGATACAGTTAGTTATAAGGCCAGCAGGTGGTGTGGTAGTGAAGGCACCAGATCCCATATGGTCAATCACAGTTTAAGTCCCAGACCTGGTGTCTTGACAGTCACACTGGACCCATGTGCATGCATGCCCAAAATTTCAAGAGGAGAACAGAGAAGGGACTCCTGTGTGGCCATCCTGCCTGAGAAGGAGATTTCTCACTTTCCCTGTTTTTGCCTCTCTCCAGTGAGCATACATGCCCTGGGACCAAAAAAAAGCAGATGCTATAGAAAATGGAATGAAGTTTCCTCAAAAAAATTAAGAACAGAACAACCAGTGATCCTACTTCTGTGTATCCAAAATAAGTGAAATCAGAGACCTACGTTCCCAAATTCACTGCAGCATTAATTGCAATGAATTCTGCTAAAATTGAAGAAAACACAAACATCAAATTTGTGACAAAGCTTTAATGAAATAATAATGACATCAATGATACTCTACAAAAAGTTTATGGGGACAGTAACAAAGAAATCAGCAGCGTACAGATGAATACCTCATTTTAGGAGACAAAGGTGAGGGACCAGCAGTTAGTGTAATGGCTATGTTGCTGGACTCCCACGTAGTCAGCGTAATGGCTATGTCACTGGACTCCCACGTAGTCAACCGCGGTTTGCGTCCCAGACCCAGTGGCTTAAAACTTACGCCGGGTGTGTGTGCGTGCATGCCCAAGATCCCGAGAGGACAATGGAAGAGAAGGAATTGCGGCGTGGCCATCCCCCCTGAGGGGTGATTTCTCGCTTTCTCTATATCTCTCTTTGTTTGGTGAGCGCATGCGCCCTATAGCAAAAACCTCTCCAAAAATAAACTTTAAAAAAAAGAGAGAGAGACAAAGGTGAGATGATGATGCCTGTTGTAGCAAACCATCCACATCAATTTGCAAGGGAAAAAATTAATTCTGTTCATGCCTTAACTGAAGTGGATCAGGAATTAAACAAAAGCTAACACCGAAAACATCCCCATTGGTTTAGCTTACATAGTTCTGACTGAAAAATTAAAATTGACCAAACTTTGTAATCAATGGGTAACAAAATTGTTGCACCCAGATCTGTAGGTAAGAGTACATATTTCAATGGAAATTTTAAACATTTGGGATCAAGACCCTGAAGCATTTCTTTGAAGAGTTATAACAGGAGATGAAACATGGATTTACTGGTACAATTTGGAAGACAAAGCACAGTCAGAGCAGTGACCACCAAGAGATGAAGTGGCCTAGTCAAAGTAAAACTAGACAGTCAAGAGCAAAAGTCATTGCAGTAGTATTTGGGCATGCTGAGGAATTTTGCTTATTGAATTTCTGAAGGGCCGAAAAACAGTAACACCTTTTTATCAGAGTGTTCAAGAAAGCCAAAGCTTTGACAGAAAAATGCCTAGAAAAGCTTCACAAGATAGTCCTTCTGCACCATTAAATGTTCCTGTTCATTCCTCTCATCAAAAATGGGCAATTTTATGAGTTTCAGTAAGAAATCATTAAGCTTCCATATTACAGTTCTGATTTGCTCCTGACTTCTTTTTGTTTCCTAATCTTAAAAAAAATCTTTAAAGTACACCCACTTTTCTTTACTAAATAATGCAAAAAGAACTTAAATTCCCAGGACCCTTAGTTCTTGAGGGATGGGTAAATGGCTGGTTCGATGCATATGGAAATATCATTTTTGTTGTTTATTTTGGTATAGGGCATGTACACTAGCCAGAAACAGACAGAGATAGAAAGTGAGAAATCACCCCACCCCGGAGGGGGGTTGCTGTCCACACCACACTCCCTTCTCCTCTTAAGATCTTAGGCATGCACACACATGTGCCCGGTATGAGTTTTAAGCTGCTGGGTCTGGGACTTGAACTGTGGTTGACTACTTGGGACTCCAGCAACATATCCATTATGCCATGTGCTGGTCCCAGACTGTTGACGTTCTGAAGATTCCTTTATTCTAGAACATGTCTTTCTCCTCTGCCATCTTATTTTCCTCTACCTTCCTTTGACATGAAGAAACCAAGACAATCATATAATACATTGCAGGTTAGAATATTCTGTCATTTTTGTGGCATTTATTACTTTGTTGCTGTAGTATCTGAATTGGAAGTTAGATCTAAAACTTGTTTAGGTTCAGATTAAAGTATCTTTCCCCCCCAAAAAAACTTCATACTTGATGTTGGATATTTAATTTTATGTTGCAGATTCAAGTAATTGTTTCACTATAAATGATGCCAAGATTTATCACTGTATTCAGGTTCTAGAGCTATTTTTATTTGTTTATGTCTTTACTTTTTAGGTTTTTGGCATAGGGCACGTATGCTTGCTGGAGAAAGACAGAGAAAGATGGAGAGAGGGAAAGTGAGAAATCACTCCCCAGTGGGAATGGCCATACTGCAATCCCTTCTCCTTTGGATTTGGGGCACCCACACACTTGCTCCTGATGTTTCAAGCCACGGAGTCCAGAATAAGAATTATGGTCTACCATGTGGGAGTTACAACCTTGACTATTCCGCCACCTGCTGGTCCGTTACTTGTTTTTGAAGCAGAGTACAATATAGTAACTAGAATATCATGAAGTTTTTGTGAAAATACTTTGATAACTGTAATGTGTGTATTCGTGGTGCACTCTTCATATTCCTCAAAACTCTTAAGAGAACACATTATTTATTGAGTGGTGTTTTAAAAGTTTTTATATTCTCTTTTAGACTTATCCTTCCCTTTCCTGTGTGAAAAGATAAGACAATTACCTCCTTTTTGCATTACAGATTTTCAGTTACTGATGTTAAAAACGGTAAAATATTGGAGCATAGAGTTGAGAAAAAGACTTAAACCAGGTAGGTAAATTATAAAAGTCTAAGGAAACAATAAATGTGCCATTCATTTTCATAATGGACATTATAGACATAATCAACAAAATTAGATTATTTACTATATAGTATTATATCAAAATTAAATTTCCAGAATTTCATAATTGTACTTTGTTCATATAACAGAATATTTATGGTGAAGGGATATGATAAATGCAACCTACTTTTGAAAGGTTCAGAAGGCATATGTCATATATAATGTAAGAAAGAATTTAGTTAAGTTGTATATCAGTAGGAACTCATATTACATACACATACATATATGTACATATCATATGTTAATATACACACATATACGTATTTATGTGTACATAGATATTTCCAAAAATGACACCCATATGTTGCTAGTGGTTATTTTGAATAGTGAGTTTATACATGATTTTAATACTCTTTGTATTATATAACTTTTTTTTTTTTTTTTTGTTTTTGCCATAGGGCATGTGAAAGGAGACAGACAGAGGGAGAGAAAGTGAGAAATCACCCCCCGGGGGGGATAGCCACACTGCAATCTCTTCTCCATTCTCCTCTCATAATTTTGAGCATGTACACATACCAGTGTGGTTTCCAAGCCACTGGATCTGGGACTCGAACTGTGGAATCCAAGCACCTTAACCAGCATGCCACCTGTTGGCCCCATAGTCTATGACTTTTAAAGAGTATGTGTAGTTATTCTCACCAAATTTTCAGAAGTTAATGCTTATTATTAAGGTTATATACTTTTATACCTATATAACAAAATTTGATATTGTAGTGGAAATAGTGCTGTATTTGCTGTTACTAAGCTAGAGCAGACCAGGTATCCGAATAATGTTTGTGAAACTGAATTCATGAATGGCGTGAGTTAGTCAGCTGTTTTCATTCTGCCATGTGGTCTGTTTCCTTAACTCTCTCTTAACTGTGTTACAAATGTGATGCTGCTCACACAGCTTAGCTAAAATGTATTACCATTTTGGAAGATCAGAGGACATGTTCTATTTATAACAGTTGTATAGTACCTTTGTGTGTAGCAGTTATGTGTTTACTTTTGGTAGTGGTCCAAAATGTGCTTTCATTTTAATTATTGTTTTTATAGTTTATGTAACTTTAAGCAATTTTGAAGGCATTTTCCATTTATATTTTATTTTTCTTTAACAGGTTTTTCTTTAACTAGTTAAAAATAATGGATCCTGAAACAGAAGGACCACAGATTATCAAAGTGACACCCCTTCAACAGATATTTGCCTCTTGTACTGGAGCTATACTGACATCACTAATGGGTAAGGGGTAATATTATATTACTGATATAGATTGTGTAACCTTGAATAAATTAGTGATTCTGTTGGATTGTCAGGAAAGTCATAATACATTTTTGCATAGAAAAGTATGTCATGACTTTCCCGGTGACCTAATATTTCAGTTTTGTTATTTGGGAAATAATACTATTTATCCTTCATGAATTCCAATATTCCCTTAACAGCATAGTAAATGGAAAAGAACTCTGGATAGAGGATCAAGAGATTTGAATTTTAGGGGACCAGCAGTTAGCGTAATGGCTATGCCACTGGACTCCCATGTAGTCGACCACGGTTCGCATCCCGCACCCGGTGGCTTAAACTCACACCGGGCGCGTGTGTGTGTGTGCCCAAGATCCTGAGAGGAGAATGGAGGAGAAGGGATTGCGGCGTGGCCATCCCCCCTAGGGGGTGATTTCTCGCTTTCTGTCTGGCTTTCTTTCTGTCTCTCTCTGTCTGGCAAGCGAACGTGCCCTATAGCCAAAACCTCTCCAAAAAAAAAAGGAGATTTGAATTTTAGTCATTTGCCATTTTCAGGGTAAATACACTTGGGTATAGTTCCTACTTTCTGAACTTCATTTTTTTCATCTGTGAATTTAAGGGCTTTAGATATAGATCAGGAATTCCTTGAGGATTACCTATCAACATTAAACATTTTTTTAAGAGAGATTTTTTTTTGCTATTGGGCACATGCACTCATCAGAAAGAGACAGAAAGCCATAAATAACAT